CAACGACCCTTCCAGTTTCCGCACTTACAGCTGCTTAAACGTCGGTGTGAAAACCATCGAGAGCCTGAACTCTCAACGGAATCTAAAACGACCAAACTATTTCCCCACCACATATGCATATAATGTACCGGCCTTGTGGGTTGGATACTAGCAAATCTATGGCATAGGGAGATAAGTGAACCAGATACAACCGCGGAATTGTGCACCTAACACACGCACCCCAACTTCAGCATTATGTACGCATATTCACTTGCCGCGGGGGCCTATTAAAGCGAAGATGTGCTCGCCTGGATAAGACTTTCATTTGCTTGAAATTTCTAAATCCATCGCTGATCTCTCATCAAAGGCGGTAGCAGAAACGTTTATTCATGCACAGTGAGTTGCGGTTTTTAAGGCTACAGTCACTACGGTACTGCTCATATATGTTTATTAACGACTTAAATATTCATGATATTTTCCCCCTTGTGCGCTGATTGCTTATTGCCTGATGTGTGGGTCGTGACATGCAGAACTTTCATCACACGTGTTGGAATTGGACATGATGATTGCTCGGCCATCTTATTCGCCGGTGTTGATATTAGACGAGGCAGTCGTCTGTGCGTTCCCCAACTCAACCTCAGCAACGAATATGGATTGTGCAGGTCGTTCCCCGAAAACCTTCGGTGTAAAATTGCCTGCCACACTATATCATCACATTTCTACGCGCCAATACTTAAAGCAAACAATACCACGTCAAACATCGCAGAGTGCGCCGGCACCTCCCACTAATATGGGAAATGTGTTACTCCCGTCCTTCTTCCGGTGGCCTCTTTGCTGCATATCTGATCAAACCCTAAGACTATTAGGTCGCGCTAAAAGCCGTACCTTGAAACGTTGCCAACGGACGATACAATACATAACTCACAGTCACTCACTGCGTTTATATGGTTTGACCGACGGGTGATCTGAGACTCATACTCCATTTGCTCTTTCCTAACGTGGTTTATATAGAATCCGCAATAATGTATGAGAGTATTGTGTTTGGTCATTAGGCATGACTGCAACTATATCCATTCGATGCAGTTGGTAAAGTAATCAACTCTTAGAGTGGCTGCGGCCTGGGGTCAATGGCCCAGCGCATTTCCTGCAATATAAAAAAATCGTAGAATTTAAGGCTATAATGGGGCCTTAAAAGTCTCAGATTAGAAGGCTGCTAATTAACGCAATAACTCAGACCTTGTATTCGGTCCAGTTTTTGTTGAAATGCAGTGACCGACTGGGGCCCGGTGTCAACGTTTACAATTCCAAATGAACGAGTTGACCATGATGTGGAGCTCCTAAATCTGTATGTAAAAACGGAGTTAAATGAAGGCGAGTTATTCCGCATTCTCAAGGTAGATTGAAAAGGGAAGCCTCCGACTGCACCAGGATTAACTCTTCGTTCACGGCCTCTTAAAGTCAGTGTAAAAACTAAGGCACAGGCACAGCTCTTTTCAAAGAAAAAAGCATCCTTACGGAGTCTGCACTCGGAACTGTTTTTCAGACGGATTTCGAGTTGAAAGAGTAAGTGAAAATCAGGTAGTTAATAATAGAACTGGAAAAACTAAGGATTGATGTTGAGACATATCTCAAAAGAAGGGACGGATAAATAGTTAAAGACAAAAGGGTATTTAT